AGAGAAAGCTCTGATCTCTGGATACTACGCACCTAGTGTGCAATATAAATCAGTTAGGTAAAGTCAAAGGCTGTTCCAGTTAACTATATCAAGCTATTATTTTGCCAAGCCACAAAGGGCTCTCTAGCTTGAGTCATTCACTTTATAGAAATCTTTAATAAATATGCAGCATATCGCATAGCTCAGCAAATTTCATGTGTGTGCGTGTGTGTGTGTGTGTGTGTGTGTGTGCGTTGCTTGGCTAGAAAAGTTTACAGACTGAGTACTCAAAGCTGAAGTATGCGAAAGGCATCTCTCCTCCCCTCTCGCTCTCCCACTCTCCCTCTCACTCTCTCTTACTAACTGTCAGCTCGATGGCATCTCTCTATGGCATATGGCGACAGCGGCAGATAACCTTTTGAGCCAGCCAAATACTTGAGAAACTGTTGCACTGTGCAGCTTGTGCACATTCGTTTGGAAAATTTTAATAATCTTCTATCAGTTCTTTTCTATTGGAAAGTTCGTAGACTCGCCCAGAGATATTAGGCCCGTCAGAGTTGCACGCATTTGTCGCCGCATGTGTGTCCCAGCGCTGCTTGACTCGCTGAACTTGCGGCGCGAACTTTGAACTTTTAACCTCAGCCAGCGGGAGATAAAAGGCATTTGGAATCGTTTCGATATCACATTCTCCCCGCCCCCCGCACGGGGTCCTTCGCTCGCAGCTCGAATTTGTTGCGTTGCTAATGCATGCATAGGCTGCTGCACAGCTGAGGAGCAGAAACCTGCTCAACGTGACTGCAGCCGAGCATGAAATGAGCTCTGCTGTGCTTATTTATTGTCTTTACCAGACTGAGCCAACGAGCTGCTGCTAATTACGCTCGCTCGTGTCTGCGAAGGACGAGTATATTGGTGGGGATCAATGGATGAATTAGATGTCGGGGCTTACTGTGTGAGGGGAAGCAAAAGCAGCTGAAATGCGTATAAAGCCATGTCTGATATGGTGGGTGTGGTTAAGCGGGTGTAGATATATAGGGAATTGATAAATAGGTGGAAATTTGCATTGGGATATTCAATATATTCATATGCTCAAGAATATCCAGCCCAGAGAGTCGACTCTTGGAATTTGATGCGCATACATAGTCAAGTCTGACAAGGTAGACATACTCAAGGGATCATAGACTGGGACTTCAAAGTCTACCTATAAATAAAATCGTGTCTGGTAATGTATTCATAGCTCTTGATTAAGCTTAAGTAATTGTACTTGATCTAGAGGGTAGTATAGACTTCTATATTCTATTACTATAAAAAATTTAAGTAATGCGACAATTTTTGAGTTAGAGATCGAAGAAAATAACTTAATTTGTACTTATTATATGCAGTGTTTAAATGCATTTATAAAACAAACAAGTTTTTCAATATAAAACTGCAATATTTAACTAGAAATATATTGCAGAATATATATATATATATATAGCAGAATGCTAAGGCAGATTGAGCAAGGAAAAGTCTGGAATAAATAATGAAATATTTACTTTGCTCAATTTCAGTTTGGAATATTTAGTCCAATCGAACATCAAATGCAGTTTACAGATTGCTTAAAGCAAATAATTTTGGTGATTTATTCGAGCATAAAATATTGATAATTTCTGTTGCTATATCAACTGAACAGTACTGTACTTTCTACATCAAATTTAATTTGCTTTGATAACTGTTGTGTAAAGAGAAAATATGTGAGCAGAGTTGGAGCTGTATAAGCTTTTAAAACTGAGCGTGGATGTCGATAAAGATCAAAATATGTTAATCTGCCCTGCTTAACAGAGCTCAGCATATTAATAATTATAAGAGTTTTAATATAGTTAGTTATTATGTTGAAATATAGTTAAAATAAATTTAGACAAACCCATTACCTCTTGTACAGTTTTATAGCTACAGTTGAGTATTTCTGTAAATGGATAAAAAACTAATATTGTTAAGTCTGTAGTCAGTTGGAAACGCAAACGAGTATGCTGCAGTCGGTGTCCCAGCAGAGTGCAAGAGACAGATTAGAGCTCAGCTGCTTAAATCGAATCTGAGTCGGGCTCTGGCGAATATAGCAAATAGCTGTTCCAATTTACTCAGTGACTTTTTTTTGTTTTGTGTGTGTTGTGTGGGGGAATGAGATAGTGGTGGGAGTGGCGGGGGCTAGAACTTGTTTGCCATTTGTTTGTCTAGTTTACAATGCAATTAACCCATTTTAAAGTTTTGGTTGTCGGCCACAGCAAACTGACTGACAAAAGACTTGGCTTTTGCCTTCCGCCTGTTTCTGTTTCGCCTTTATTCACGTCCCACTGGGGCTCATCCTGTGTCAGCGTCTGCTGGCAGAAAATCAGTTTAACCAGCAAAAACTAATTGCGCAGGCAACTTGTAGCTCGCAATTATACCGCAAAGTGCAATTTATATGCTGGCCAAAAGGACCGAGCCAACGAACGAACGGAACTTGGCCAAAAGCGAAAGTCACCAAAAAGTTAACGTTAGCTGGCAAATGACTTGAACGAAAATTCTAAAGCCAACTGCAATCGCACGTAAAATGTTAATGCGAAGCACTTCAAGATGATGTGACGGGCAGATGAGGCTATTCAACTCTAGGATGGACAGTGGATATAAATCAGTTGATCTCAGCGGCGGCCATAGAGGCGACATAGCATTTCAACTAAATTTCGTAAGGCAGAAAATCAAAGTCAGGATCTTAGCCTGAGCAATAAGTCCAGCGAGTGCCCTGTGAGGCTGTGTCATAAATTAAAGCTAAAGGAAAATTACGCGCACAGCATGTGGCCATAGATGAATGTATGTAGTATATAACGGCAGGAGTAGGGAAGTTGTAAATGCTCGACTACGGGATACCTGTAGGAGAGAGAGATTACAGTAACCCAACTCTAAACATTAATATTTATCGATACAATAAAAGTGCCTTGAGATATCGAAAGAAAATCCAAGATCTATCTAGCGTAAAGTATACAGGAAGAATTGTTTCAAAATTGAAGTCTCTAGCTTTTATAGTTCTCGAGATCTACGCATACGGAACCACAGTCTTAAGAACGATTTCTTAATGAAAGACAGTGAAAGACTCTTGAATAGAATGAGAATGAGTATCGACCAAACCAATATACCCCATTTTACCCATTCACATAGGTGTAGTAAAGGGTATATAAGTCTGTAGGCCATGCAACCATAAAACTGATAGCCTTGGCCAACAGCAACGTGGCCTAATGCTGAACCGTCTAAGATGACAATGGCCAATGGACAATGGATGCTGGCTATTTGTAGAGTCTCCCGCTGCGTTGCCTCTTTATATGGCAGACTGGACGGTTTTGTTTATGACTCTTTAGCACCACGTGATAAAAGCTTTTTCGGCCAGCAGAAGACCGAGTCCTGACATATAAAAGCTTCCAACTTCCTGCTGACCTCCGTTCCTATAAAATACCTTACATCATTTTGAGTAATTACATGGCTAGCACAGATACAGACATATACATATACGAATGTGTGTGTGTGTGTGTGTGTGTGTGTGTGTGTATGGCAGCACCTCGCTTCAGAGCTGTGCAACGTACGAAATAGATACAAATATTTTATTGCTCCTCCAGGACATGGAGCGGGGCAGCAACGAGAGAGAACCTTGCGCCGCCTCTGGCTATCCATGGCAATAATGAATACGATAGATAATTATATACATGACGTACTCTTAAACACAAGCGCAGTGACTTTAATGGGTTTGCCAACTGCAAGGGGCCCGGCCCCGTCATAGACCGTACACTGTGGACTGTTGCCTCTAGACTGTTTTGTTCCTTCGACTCTATCGGCTCTGCTCGGCACGGACTAATCTAAATTTATAACTTTATTTTTTATGAGCAGTCGCGTCTCGCCCGCAGCTCTCAGCTCAAGTTCCCCAAAAAAAGAAGCGAATTTTATAGCTTTAAAGCAATTGTTATACCCTGTACTCATAGAAAATGGATAAATGGGGTATAATGGGTTTGTGCAAACGCTATAGCCACTGATGGAAAAGGGCGATATCAGTGAGCAAGCATTTACCATATATATATGTGGGATGCATTGATATAGCTATGTTGGCATGCCACTATATAGCTCTGTTCGTGAGGTATTTTTTATCTCGAGAAATACAAGAGCTGGAGAGTAAAGATTTGAGACATGAGTATAGTTAAATGCTATAGGTATGTACCGAAAATTTCATTAAGATTGTACGGCTAGATCCAAAGTTCAATCAGTCTACTATACATACCTTTACTTTACATACCTAACGCTGTCTCCTTAACATTGCTTGTGTAATGTGTGTGTGAGAAGAAAACTTTGTATGTGTGGACCAGCTTCTCATTGTACTCACACACACACAGGTAGACATTTCGGACAGGGTATCTTCAGGTCAGGCACATGCTGCAAGCGCACTCTTAGTTGCTTTCGTCGTTTACTTTTTTCGAGTCTCTGTTGTTTTTTGCCCTGCTCGAAAGTGATAATGAAATAATTTGAACTTTTTTGTTTGCTTATTTTTCTTGGGCTTACCCACAGCCAAGGGTCACACATGCAGTGGCCAGCTTTTGGTCCTGCTGCTTGCCCATTACAAAAGGCAAACTCATTAAATTATGTAAAACTTTGTCTTTAAATATGACAGCAGAGCAGAGTAGAGCTGGGCAGAGCTGGGCGGACCCTGGTAGGGGTCGTGTGTGCATACATGAGTATGTCCTTAAGAGCAATTCGTTATTTGACTATGAGCTTTACTGTTAAAGTTTCGTTTACTTTGACCCTCATCCCCGTTAGGCTTTTTACATCCCCCAATATGGGCTGCACATGCTTCTTAAGTTCTAAGTTCTCTTTAAGTTTGCACTCCAGGGATTATTAAAAAACCAGCCTTTGCTGCGTAAATAAGCCCGCTCGATAAACGTGATGAGATTCTTGGGCAATATATATTTCATATGTATATAAATTTATATGTTTTCAATTAATAAGCATGTATATATGTCGTCTATTTTCAGATAATTTCAAGACTTTTTGAATCTAAAATTGTGAACATAAAGAACCATTTCCCATAGACAAATTAAGTTGAGTGAAAAAATTATGTGAGGACTTTAAAAAATCAGAGAGAAGAGAGCAGCCAGAGCACAGCGCAAGAGAATTTTAAAAACCATATCAATTACAGTTGACACAACGCGAGACCACTTCAAGCAATTACAACCAAAGGCAGCGACTGCGACTGCGACTGCGACTGCGACAGCGACTGCGTCTGCGTATGCGTTTAGCACTGGCAAAGGCAAAACAATGAGAATCATTTTACGTAGCATACGTCGCGGGAATTTAGCGACTTCCTCAACGAGCCGACGCCCCCGCAAAATGAATTGTTCCATTTTGATTGTAATTAGCCTGGCATGGTTGCTACACGCGCATTGCTATGCCGATGCTGCCATTTCGAATCGAGGTAAGCAGACACAAACGTGCCATCTCCCTAACTCTCTCTCTCTCTCTCCCACACCTACTCTCCCTCTCGCTCACTCTACCCCTGCGTTGGTTGAACAAAAGCTGCTCCATGCCACTAAAAGCATGAGTGGCCGCTGGCATTTTAGGTGAAGTTAGGCAACTGGAAGTGATGCCAGCCCCGTGCCAGAGCTTATGCATTTAACGTGTACAAGTTCATATATATAAATATAAATACTTTTTTTTATATTCATGTTTCAACAACACTGCATCAACTATACCCTGTAAATTTGTGCAATGAAAAGGAGAAATTAGAAGTTGCACAACTTAGTAAATAATAAGCTGTATATCATTTAAATTTTCTTTTAACATAAGATCAGCTTATATCAATTGAGCTATGTATATTAGTATATATATATTTTTTTAAATCAAATTATATAGTTCTTCCTCTTTTTGTGAAAACTTTTAAGTCTTTCATGCAACAATCTCGTTCGTTTGCCTATGCAATTTGCTTTCTCTGGTGCGCATTTCAAAATTTTAATTTCCTGATTTCAATGTGTAATTTCCTTGGCTTGAAAGCTTTCGCTTATAGCTATTCAATTTAAGTTCATTTAAAAATATGTGCTAAATTTCTTTGCATTTGTGAAATCAATATTAATATCAACAAATTTATAAAATAAAACGAGAGCTTCACTGTTGACCTTTAATTAACCATCGCTCTAAGACAGACCATCTAGCTAAGACAGTGAGTGAGACGAGAGAGAGAGCGAGAGGGAGAATATGAGATAAGGATATTGATATTATATGTATATATTTATATGCTATTATTTAATTTATATTTAATTTAATTTATATAAGAGTTCATTCATATGAGGTTACAGGGCAAGCCTCTTATACGATTTTATATTATATCTATGTTCCTTAATAATTCCTTGTATATGAATGTGAAATTCAATATATGGAATATCTCATAGTGTCTATATCTATAAAACTTTAAATATTCATTTATATAAATATACAATACTAAGATAACATATCGTTATTTTAGAGTCCTTCAAATCTGAAGAACGATAATAAGAAATGTAATTTATATAAAATTGACTTTGATATATCGGATTCTTAAAATATTTATATACAGCCGCTTCTTAAGTAAAATGCCGGGTATATCATAGTTTGGTATATTTCGAAACAAGTTTACAATTTCGCATAATTTACACATAATGTTTTCTAATTATAAAAATTTTTGTAATCTACATTAGTTTATGTATTAACTTGTAACTGCTTCTATTTAAACACCAAACACTAATCCCACCTACCGGGTATTTCACAGTCCATCATTGAGAAGTTCACCACGTTTTTTTCCGCTCGAGCCACATTCGGGCCAGGCTAGTTGCATTTATGTTTCTGCATAATAGAAAATGCGCGAGCACGCATTTCGTGGAGCTATCGTGAGCATATTTAAATGCTAACTAAATCCGTGTGGCGTGGCCCTTGAGCACGTTGCCCTAATCGCTGGCAAACCGCTCTGAACCGAACCGCAGTGGCTGAGCTGAGTAAGCGTGAAAAAACATTAAAACTTCGCTTAAGCGCACACAATGCAAAGCTCTGGCCGAAAAATGGCGTTAAGGAAAGGCGAGCAGAAATTTAAAAATCTCTGATGAAACCTAACAAATGTTTCAACAAATTTGCCTGCCAGCTGCGAAAGGGAACAGCTGCCAAAATGCGATGAACTTTCAATTTGAAAGTTTATAACGGCACCAGAGCCTGTGGACGTGGACCAGACGCAGACAGAGCATCCGGTCCGGTCCGGCCCGGCCCGGCCGGGCCTGCCAGTCGCAAAATTGCGAATTCTTGAAACTACGCCGGGATGGGAAATGCTGGTTACATTGCGCAAATAGTTTGGCTTATCTTGGCCGCAAGTTTATCTTGGGCGACGACTTTGCTTTTCTTCTATTAGGCAATGGAAAACACAAAATAAATTGAAAGTTCAGGTGTGCGACTTTAAGCATTAAATCTGGCCGCCCAGTCCACCCGCCCACCAGCCCACCTGACTTTGGCTATAAAAACAAATTCACATGCCAGGGCCATATTTTTTGCCTTAGCAACTTCTACAAAAACCGACCGACCAATCGATAAATTTAAGAGCCCAACATTTGTCTCCATTATCGCTGAAATCCAAGGCGAACGCGCGTAAAACAAAACAAGTAAAGGCCATGCTAGACGATGGGGCCTAACTGATTGCGTAATACTCGTTAGCACATCTAGCATACGTGGATCTATTTTTAAAACTCTTGAATGCATCTAGAGGGCAGCTGAACTGTGAGACTCTTCCCAAGCTCTTAAGACATGCTTCCAATCTATACTATAAACCTATTATGCCTCGCTTATCATAAAAATTCCAAATGCCCATCTTCTTTGGTGTCTAAGCTGCTGTCCATTTGCCACGCCCCCAGCTGTTATATTTCAATATCCAATATTCAATTTTAAGCCAATCTATTTATTCTCTAAAACTTTCAATTTTTACCCCGAAAACCTATATACCCCGCCTCACTCCTCGAGCGAGTATCACACACGAAAAAAGAGAGAAATATGTGAAAACTGCGAAGCGCATAAAAGGACCATCGATGCGTGGAGCAGCCTGGAATTGCCAACGTTGGTTTTTTTTGCTGTTTCGTCAACCTGTAGGCGGGAGGCGTGTCCGTAACAATGGCACTGAAAAGGCGTGTACGCTGCGACGAAAAAAAAAAGCAAAGAAAAAACACCAAAACACACAACAATAATAGACGTACACAGAGAGATGAAGAGGGAGGGAAAACAAGTGAACAGCAGCAGCAGCAGCAGCAGTAGCTGTAAAGGTATATCACAGGTGGAAATGTGCTTTTGTCACTGATCATAAATTTTTGAGCTAGCTGCGTGAGCGTGAGAGTCGCGCCCATTGCGAAAGTTCTCTATTGTTCTTGAGTGTAAAGGACAAGGCAATAAAACGTAGCTATTGACAACGTCAAATATATATATATATGTATGTGTGTGTGTGTGTGTATAGAGTGGGGGCACTCGCTCGAACTTCCGCTGCAAATTGGCGGCATGGCCTCCATTGCGTAGTTGGATTGCTCATCGAGCAGCCAAACAGCATTAGCTGAAAAGTCCTTAGCATCTATGAGATTTGTGCCACACATTCGTGGACCTGACCCATTTTCGCAGTCAGGTTTCGCAGCAGTCGCAGCAGAGAAGCACTTAGCACACATCAGCTGACAATAGTTTATACTGTTGTGTTATTGCAAATAATAGTGAATTGCATCACACGTAGAGCTGCCTGAGGAAGAAGACTCCTCCACTCTCTGTCTCTCTCGCTCTCTCTTTTACCCTTCCGCCTGGTGGGCCCGCCCCTTTGATAGTTTTGTTTGGCATTTTAAGTGATTTCACTTAAATTTTCATAACAAAACATGAAGAGTGCGTGCTCGGGCGCTCGTGTATGCTGAGCACGATGTACAGCAACACTGCCCGAGATTGGATGAGCGAGTGAGTCGAGGTGAGAGGATGAACCTCTACAGGCATGTTCTAGCTGTCATACACACTTGTATATGTATACATCTATTTTGTATGCCCTTTGTGAAATGAGTGAAGTGGGTATGCACTGAATGCAAGAGGCTAGAAGAACAGCAGAATGAGTTATGATGCTGCATAATAGAATTCACACATCTCGAAAACTGCAGTAGCTACTGGCTTGAAATTTGATGTATATCTGCTTATACACTAAACGCATGGCAATTATAAATTATTCTTTTAATATGTAAACGGAATCTTGTAATATTCATAAATAATAGAAAATTTGAGCTGATTTTGCAGTGTACCTTGAAAACTATATAAGCTAGCGCTCTCTAAAAATATATATAGACTTCTGTGATCTGTGCACAGTTAGGCAATATTTCCATTTCCATTCAGATCCATTAGACATTCTAGGTCAAAGTGAGTAAGATCAAATTAAAGTTTCGAGAGCACAGCCTATTTGTCTCTTATATATCTACCCTGAAAATATAATCAACTTTCCTTCTCCATAAACAGAGCTAACTCAGCCTATATCCATATATCCATATGTATAGCAATTAGCAGTCGGAATCTCTCATAATATCTAAAGATGCTGATATAGGAGATAGAAAAACCTTCACAGGGTATTTGCTATTCGTTCACTATGGCCTCGCAGTATTCTTGTTTGTACAGATTTTTCTGCAGTTTTTTTACGCTGCGAAACCGCATTTTATATGTTTTGCTTTTGTAAAATTTTTTCATAAATTTAGTTTTTTGCCATACGCACGCCCCTGCAACACACATTCCAGGCACACACACACACACACACACATACACATTCATGAGAAACATGTTAGCATAGCAACGAGCGCATAGTCCATATAAATACATATATAGAGATTCAGATCCAGCGAGCAGGGAGCAGGCAAACTGCATGACATGTTGTACGTGTTTATATGCAGTTGCCTTGCCTGCCTTCTGTTGCTGTTGCTGTCGCAGTTGCTGTGGCTGTCGCTGTCGCTGTTGCTGTCGCTGTCGCTGCCAACGTCGGCGTCGACGTCGACGCCTGCTTGCCATCTGTTCGCGCGCTCATCCGTCCAAATGCTGGGCTACGCCCCGCTGTGGTTGTAGTATTATATTTGCGAATCCCTTTGGGTATGTTGGCAGCAATAAATTTTCATCAGTCCTACAACTCTGGCTCTCTTTCTCTTCCTCATCCTCATCCTCATCCTCTTTCTCTTCCTCTTTCTCTTCCTCTTGCTCCAGCTGCCGCTGCTGTTGCAGCTATTTTTCCTACTTCACGCCAACCGCGCCTCCATCACCATTAACTAACAAACAACAACAACAGACAACGCCCAGCACTTGGGCTGTTGACTAGGCCGGTTCCAGCTCTGTAGATGTAGCTGTAGCTGTAGCTGGAGCTGGGCAACAAATCTCTGGCTCAGCTGGCATGTTCTGTTGCGGCTTTTCACGAATGCG